TTTGTGCATTACAATAACATCAAATTGATCAGAAATATAGTGTAGACATTGTTAATGTTGTAAATGGCTATTGTAGCTGGAAACGGCTGATTTTTAATGGAATATCTACATAGGCGTACAGAGGCCCATTATCAGCAACCATCAGTCCTGTGTTCCAATGGCACGTTGTGTTTGCTAATCCAAGTTTATAATTTTAAAAGGCTAATTGATCATTAGAAAACCTTTTGCAATTATGTTAGCACAGCTGAAAACTGTTGTGCTGATTAAAGAAGCAATAAAACTGGCTGTCTTGAGCCTAGTTGGGTATCTGGAGCATCAGCAATTGTGGGTTAGTTTACAGGCTCAAAATGGCCAGAAACAAATAACTTTCTTCTGAAACTCGTCAGTCTATTCTTGTTCTGAGAAATGAAGGCTATTCCATGCGAGAAATTGCCAAGAAAAAGCCATATCTCAGATTGCCCATCTTAATCTTTTCTTTTTATTGGCCAGTCTGAGATACAGTGGGGAGAACAAGTATTTGATACACTGCCGATTTTGCAGGTTTTCCTACTTACAAAGCATGTAGAGGTCTGTAATTTTTATCATAGGTACACTTCAACTGTGAGAGACGGAATCTAAAACAAAAATCCAGAAAATCACATTGTATGATTTTTAAGTAATTAAATTTGCATTTTATTGCATGACATAAGTATTCGATCACCTACCAACCAGTAAGAATTCCGGCTCTCACAGACCTGTTAGTTTTTCTTTAAGAAGCCCTCCTGTTCTCCACTCGTTACCTGTATAAAAGACACCTGTCCACACACTCAATCAAACAGACTCCAAGCTCTCCACAATGGCCAAGACCAGAGAGCTGTGTAAGGACATCAGGGATAAAATTGTAGACCTGCACAAGGCTGGGATGGGCTACAGGACAATAGGCAAGCAGCTTGGTGAGAAGGCAACAACTGTTGGCGCAATTATTAGAAAATGGAAGAAGTTCAAGATGACGGTCAATCACCCTCGGTCTGGGGCTCCATGCAAGATCTCACCTCGTGGGGCATCAATGATCATGAGGAAGGTGAGGGATCAGCCCAGAACTACACAGCAGGACCTGGTCAATGACCTGAAGAGAGCTGGGACCACAGTCTCAAAGAAAACCATTAGTAACACACTACGCCGTCATGGATTAAAATCCTGCAGCGCACGCAAGGTCCCCCTGCTCAAGCCAGCGCATGTCCAGGCCCGTCTGAAGTTTGCCAATGACCATCTGGATGATCAAGAGGAGGAATGGGAGAAGGTCATGTGGTCTGATGAGACAAAAATATAGCTTTTTGGTCTAAACTCCACTCGCCGTGTTTGGAGGAAGAAGAAGGATGAGTACAACCCCAAGAACACCATCCCAACCGTGAAGCATGGAGGTGGAAACATCATTCTTTGGGGATGCTTTTCTGCAAAGGGGACAGGACGACTGCACCGTATTGAGGGGAGGATGGATGGGGCCATGTATCGCGAGATCTTGGTCAACAACCTCCTTCCCTCAGTAAGAGCATTGAAGATGGGTCGTGGCTGGATCTTCCAGCATGACAACGACCCAAAACACACAGCCAGGGCAACTAAGGAGTGGCTCCGTAAGAAGCATCTCAAGGTCCTGGAGTGGCCTAGCCAGTCTCCAGACCTGAACCCAATAGAAAATCTTTGGAGGGAGCTGAAAGTCCGTATTGCCCAGCGACAGCCCCGAAACCTGAAGGATCTGGAGAAGGTCTGTATGGAGGAGTGGGCCAAAATCCCTGCTGCAGTGTGTGCAAACCTGGTCAAGACCTACAGGAAACGTATGATCTCTGTAATTGCAAACAAAGGTTTCTGTACCAAATATTAAGTTCTGCTTTTCTGATGTATCAAATACTTATGTCATGCAATAAAATGCTAATTAATTACTCAAAAATCATACAATGTGATTTTTCTGGATTTTTGTTTTAGATTCCGTCTCTCACAGTTGAAGTGTACCTATGATAAAAGTTACAGACCTCTACATGCTTTGTAAGTAGGAAAACCTGCAAAATCGGCAGTGTATCAAATACTTGTTCTCCCCACTGTATGGCTTTTTCTTTGCAACTCTGCCTAGAAGGTCAGCATCCCGGAGTCGCCTCTTCACTGTTGACGTTGAGACTGGTGTTTTGCGGGTACTATTTAATGAAGCTGCCAGTTGAGGACCTGTGAGGCGCCTGTTTCTCAAACTAGACACTAATGTATTTGTCCTCTTGCTCAATTGTGCACCGGGGCCTCCCACTCCTCTTTCTATTCTGGTTAGAGCCAGTTTGCGCTGTTCTGTGAAGGGAGTAGTACACAGCCTTGTATGAGATCTTCATTTACTTGGCAATTTCTCGCATGGAATAGAGCTGTGCTAACATAATTGCAAAAGGGTTTTCTAATGATCAATTAGCCTTTTAAAATGATAAACTTGGATTAACAAACACAACGTGCCATTGGAACACAGGACTGATGGTTGCTGATAAATGTAGATATTCCATAACTATTTTTTTTTTTTTTTTTTATCAGCCGTTTCCAGCTACAATAGCCATTTACAACATTAACAATGTCTACACTGTATTTCTGATCAATTTTATGTTATTTTAAATGGACAAAAAAAATGAATTTCTTTCGAAAACAAGGACATTTCTAAGTGAACGCAAACTTTTGAACGGTAGTGTGTGTGTATATATATATATATATATATATATATATATATATATATATATATATATATATATATATATATATATACAGTAATCCCTCGTTTATCGCGGGGGTTACGTTCCGAAAATGACCCGCGATAAGTGAAATCCGCGAAATAGAAAACTTTTTTTTTTTACAATTAGCAACTATTACATGTATACAAATACAGTGACTCACGTGTAGGCCGTTTCACTGCTCTTCAGACTGGGCCGCTGCATCCTGACTGCGCTCTGCAGTGTTCTCTTCTTCTGAAGCCCGCGGTGCAGGTGTGTTTGTTCGGGAGAAGAACATAGTGATAGGCAGCTGTTGTCGCTCTTTTTTCTTCTTTGCAAAAAGATCCTTGTACACCGACATGCCACCATCGATTACGTTGGAGAACTGTAATGAACGGCTCATCAAAGGGTCCCATTCCTCAGCTACTCGCTTAAGTTCAGTGGCCATTCGCACCATGGTTGCTAAGCGACCAAGCGTTAGTCCTTCCTCCTCATCTCTCGTGTCCTCTTCTCCCTCTTCTCTTTCATCGTCGCTTTGTGGCTTTGTCATTTACCTTCCCTTAGCATGTCCAGAAGTTTAACTTTATCTGAGATAGGTAGCATCTTCCGCCGTTTGGGCCCATCCGCAGGTGCTTTTGTCGGTCCAGGCCGTTTCGTCGACATTATGGGTTTAGGAGATGTTCGAAATTACAAGATAATTTGGCCAACTTAATGTAAATTTGCCAAGCTGTTTTATGTACGTACACATAACTGCACGAGACGACAAAATGATAGCACAATTCGTAGCATGTTTTGATACAAGAAGCGGGAGTGAGTTTTTAGCGAATCAGAATGCAGAGCACAATGCACCAAAAAAAAAAAAAATGCATTATGAAAATCCGCGATAAGTGAACCGCGAAGTGGCGAGGGATCACTGTATATATATATATAAATATAAAAATGTGTCCACTGTTGATACAGTCCCAAAATGTTTCGCATGTCAGCAGTCAATGTTTCAAGATATAGTATTTTCAAGAAGCAAAGTGTCACTTGATGTGGCAAGTGACACTTTGCTTCTTGAAAATCCTATCTTGAAAACTTGACTGCTGACATGCGAAACATTTTGGGACTGTATCAACATTTACACTATCCATCGTAACAGGATTGTCATAGCCATTAACTTTTTTTCCACAATACATAATAATTCAATACCAGCAAAAGAAACAGAACAATAAACACCAAAAGAGAAAGTGAAATAAATTATGGATAACTTATATTTTCTGTAAATAAATGTGTAACTTTAGATAAAAGCTTTTTGCAATTTCAGAAATCTTTCATAATAACAGCACTTTCATGCTCCTGCCCTAATTTGACCAATAGATGGCACCAAAGGAACATATTTGATATGATCAACTAGAGTGATCAACTATAGAGCAATAAGGCTCTTAACTCTTTTAGTAAATAGAACCAGTCATCTTAATGTGGTGGGAGTGGTATTTTTGGAATGGCTTAATGTATTAGGATTCATAGATAGCTTTTTACATACTTGGAGGCTGATAAGGCAAGGTGCCTAGAGTGCTGCATCAAAATATCTCCCCCCTCTCTCAAATGCAATCACTGGTGTGATCGTGACAAGAGGGTAGACAAAAGGATAGCATGAATATACACTTTAGCACCATTTAAAATGTGTTCCAACACCATAGCACCATTCTTGCTCTTCAGTCAGACCAACACAAGACAATGTCCCAAAGAGGTGATGAAAACTCAGGTAGCAGAAAGCAGCATCTTCACCTGCCATTCTTGGCTTAAGCACAACATGTTTAGCTTCTTATGGCATAACAAGTAGTGTTGGTTGGAAGGGCTAGTGCAAGCCTTGGGTAAAGCATCAGCCAAAACAGATACAACAACTCTGAGCCACACACTTTTGTATCAAAATAAGTCATTTAAATTCCCACAGCCATGCATCTTTGGACAATCCTGTGTTGTTGCGGTGCTTCAACTCGGAAAAAAAGCCACATTTACTGTATAGCTCTTTTGATGACCAGAACATATACAATCCAATGTCACTGCTGAGAATCCATGCAGTTGTTTTTACAGCTCACCATCACTTCACCATGTGAAACGGAGCACTTGCTTGTGTAAATCCATTACCTTGTCATCTAGCATGTGGAGTTAGTGATTCAGGGCAGTCCATCCAAGCGATTATTTTTGTAGAATGTGAGAGTCGAAGCTGAAAGAGACGTATCCTCAGTATATGGGCAGGGGTTGAGTTGTCCCTTAAAGTTTTTACTGGAGACATACTGGTCTTGAGTGCTATAGCAAAAAGTGGTTGTTCCTGCTCAGCTTGAGAATCTTCCCCAGTCTCTGCTTGGCGGTGGCCATACCTTTCTTAGGACGTTTTCCTGAGAAGAAGAAACATTGCACAGAGATCAACAACAAAAGGATGAGAGAGAGGAATATTGCTACACTAATTTCAGCTACTATAGATTAACTAGGTAAAAGTGGAGTCAAACCTTTAGTCGCTTGATTACTGATGGGTGGGGTGTTTGGGGCGGACCTCTTGGAGGGGTGCAGGGAGGATGACAGAGTGGTCTCACAGTACTGGTAATCAGTCCCTGAGCTGGGGTCCAGGCAGAGGAGGCTAGAGGCAGCCCTAGAGGGGCTCTGGTCCCCCCAGGCCTCACTGCTGTTACTCCCACTGCTCTGACTGTCCATGAAGTTCTTGTTCTCCTGGATCCTCTGGCTGAGTTCAGCTCGACACTCCTTACGCACATGCTGCTGGGCCCTCCGCTCATCCTAAAGGAAAGGGAGACATTATTACTTTACATTGGATTCCAACTTGTTACCTAGAGGAAGATTAGTCATTCAAATACAGAGTGAGTGATTCTGATGTCCTCTCAAAATAGAGACGTCAGTCTTAAGAGATGTCGGCCGCAGCATGTGCAGGCATGACCCATTAATCCTTGGCTATTATCATTACCTGAAGGCTCAATGTGGAGTTGCTGTCTGAATCCTGGCTCTCCTCCCCTGACGCAGGCTCTCTTTCACCTACAGGACAACGACAGCGAAAGTTTAAGTTATCTGAAATTGATTGAATTAGGGTCTTAATTAAATCTTGGTGTTTATAAGAATTTCAGGACTGGAGTGTACCACTGTCAGAGGAGCGATGGGCTGGGCTGGACCACCAGGGCTCCTGGGCAGTGCTACTCTCCTCTGGTCGCTGAGGATACAGCAGCCCTGCCATTGACAGCATGCCCTCAATAGCCTCTTCTTCTGTGGTTGGCGAGGTAGGATGTTCTCTACAAAAGGCAAGCGAGTAAAGGAACAACTTAATTAATCTCTTAACTCAACTGGATAATGAATGATTCATGCATGACTCTTCAGCCACTGTGGCTAATGTAATACTAATGTCCCCCATTGGATTTCTATTGAATTGAAGCATACAGAATACTTAGAACAAGAATGCCACTTTGTCCATTTATCCATGCTTCCCGTACCCTTTGAGTGGTTTGTGGTGGTGGCTGAGGGCCTGGCTGGCCTGGTGCAGGTCTGTCACACTGCCTGTGCCTCGCTCTGTCCTGCACTGCTCCTTATCCTCCTCATCCTCTTCTGAGCTCCCTGAATCCTTCCCAGAGGAATCCCTTTTCTGCACAAGTCACAAAGATGTGTCAGCCTTTAACTTAAACTCTACCTCTGTGTGAAGGAGAGACAGGGCCCTTTGGGGAGGAAGTGGGATTAGTTACCTGTACAGTGCAACGCACTTCGGACTCAGAGTCTGAGATGTCTGAGTATACCGTGGCTCCTTTCCTGAGATCGGAATTCACTCTTTTGAAAAACTCTGAGGAGGAAAAAGAGAAGGATTCATTAAATATCTCTGCAACAGAATTTTTAAGTGAAATTCTCTGGCATTCAAAGATGAGCCTACCTAAACCGTTGATTGACAGCCGGTGACTTGACCAGTTAGACTCACTGCTGAGAGGGCTAGGTTTCTCCCCTCTCTCTGGGTCTCTGTGCTGTTCCTGCTTGTTGTCATTGATTTCTGTTTTCACCAGGACCCCTTCCCAATGGTGGTCACCAGTCCTCTCACCGTCCTGCACCGGACTACTCTTCACCCTGGTGTGACAACGCTCATCTCTGTGCACACATACACACACTAGTAAGAAGGGGAGAAAAAGCCTGGAGGCAAACCACATAATTTGGCACTGAAAGCCATCTTACTTCATTTTATTTAGGCTAAAGTTTGATGTAAGTGGTGAGTTGAAACATGTAAAGATTGCATGGTGCAGGTGGTCCATCCGAACATGTTTAAGCTGTACAACACCAGCTCTGAGTTGTAATATGTAACCACTTCAGCCAGTAACTTGAGCATTGTCAAAGCCAATCAAAGCCAACCAGAGGTGTTGGGTGGGGAGTTGAGAGCGAGTCACTGCTCTACCTGTTGGGAGGTGATGCATGACTGAGGAACCATTAACCCAGGCTCCAGATCCTTGACGTCTTCCCTGAAAAGGTCACAGGCAGCCTGGGGGCCAAGGGTGCCGGGGGGTGGGGGGGTTCTTCCGGCTCACCTGATAATCCGGCCGTTGCACATCACCAGACGGAGGTTGTTGTCCAGGCTCCGTTCCACAGCTGCAGCCGACGCCACAGATGCCTTGTTGAACTTTGCCGTCACTGTGGAGCTGAATGGGGCATCCTGCGAAAAGGGCATAGAGATTTACTTTAACAAAGGTTTATAATTAACCTAGTCTCAGTCTATGAGTAACATCCTCCAAGACATGGATAATCCACGAGGACTACAGTTGCACATTGGGTTAGACCAAGCAGCATGGGGGAGATGGTAGTGTGTCAATGCCCTCACCTCCTCAAAGGGTCCCACCTCCAGCCTCTTGAGCACCTGTCGCGTGTGCAGCTCCAGGATCTCCAGGTTGGAGGGAGTCTTGGGCGCATGGTGATGATGGTGGTGGTGGTGCCGTAGCCGTCTGGCTGTCCGGCGAGCATGATGGCTAGCCCTGTCCAGAGTCGACCGCGTCAGCGGGCATGCTCCACTTCCCTGAGATTTCATTGGCTTGCTACCTCCAGCGCCACTCTGCTGCTCCTCCTGTGGTTAAGAAGAGATCCTAGTCAGTACAGAACCCCAACGCTGTAATACCCAGCTTGAAAGAAACACAATGCTTTTGACCTGGTACTTATAAAAGAGAAAAAGGGAAAAAAAGAATGAGGGTCAGCCAACTTTTACTCTGAGCACAAATGTTTAGAACCAGCTCCAAGTCGTCACGTAACAGCTTGAGGCCCTCGCTCCCAGCCCCGTCACAACGCAAGGCCTTACCTCCAGGTAGCGGATTTCCTTTGTGAGTTCTTTAATTAGATGGTTGGGTCTGATATGGTCCGGGACCTCGCTGGCCGGCTCTGTGACCTGAGGAGAGGCAGAGAGCAGGGGGACAATGAGGGCTTGTCCCGTCTGTCTGCAGATGGTGGTTACAGTTTCCCAGCCAGGTCATAGTCATACCACCACACTGGATACAACCTGCCCACCACTGACCTTTATAGAAGGAGCCCAATGTAGATTACATTAGAATGTAGAGAATGTGACCAAACGTCCTATTCTGTAGTCAGATGTTACACAGACAAAAGAAGCTGATTTGGAATCTACAATCTGGTTTCCTGTAGTATCTTACCTCTCGTTTTAGCCAGTTCTTCAGTGCAGTAATCAAGGCTTTCACTCCTGTCAGGTAGGCTGGGGGCTGGCAGTTATCCTCTCGTAACTCTGAGAAGCCAGGAATCATATGAGAAGGATGTCAAAAAGGTACAGAAAGTTACCAAAGGGGACATCACCAAAACAGCAACAAATTCTTCCTCCAAGTTGTATTTCTCTCACCTTTTAGAGTCTCCAGTAGATTATTTGCCACATACCAGCAGATGGCCTCAAAGTAAGGGAATTTGAACAGGTCAGGAGTCTTCAACCGCCGCTCCATCTCATAACACCTGTAGTTGAGGATGCAGCAATGGAGGTCAAACACACACAGCTCCACAGTGCTGAGACCCATCACAGTCAAACCACTACTTCATTGCTGGCCATTAAAAAGCGCAGAAGAGCTGTGTTTTTAGCCATTCATTTCATCAATGTTATTACTTTACAAGGAAAGAAAGGCAACAGAATGAGCAGAGGACAGAGGGTTTTCCAGGTGCTCACCTGAGCTGCATGCCTATGTTGAGGTTGTGGAGGAAGTTCCCTCCGAACGCCATGCAATCCTGAGAGGTGAGAACAGCATGGATCCATCCTGGGGAACACAGAGGAGGATAGACCACATCAACAGCTGACCCACAGATGTGGAGCAAAAGGCCAGTAGCAGGCAGAAGACAAACATGCAATAAATCAAACATTTCATTTGGAACATTTTGGAATTCTTGTTTTCCAGCTGTATGTTTCAGACACATCAAAGGGTTTAGGAAATGGTTGAAAAACCTTCCACGTTGCAGCAGCGCATCCAAAGAGGCGTGACAATGCTGGGCTGGTGGGCCCTAAACATTATAAATGCGCGGTCATGGAGGGTGCACCGAGAGCTGCTGTGGCCCCAGCAGAGAGATGATGGGAGCCGCTCAAGTGATTATATGGATGGCTGATACCGGTTGGGGTTCTCTCTCATCCCCTGCCGGTCTCCTACATACCAGCCATCAAGAGCCCAACCGTGTGACCTTCCCTGCCAGGGGGCCTTTGGCTTCCCGCAATAAACCATTTCAGAAACGGTATTTATGTTACAGCAGGAGGCCTGTGAATGCAGTTCATGAAACCATAATTTGCACATTCATCCAAAAGCAGGTGGGCCCATGCTGATGGAGCATTGTGCCATAGTTAAAATTCTCTCAAATTCTCTTTACCTAAAAATGAACGTTCATTTTCGAACATCAGGAGATCGACACAGATATGTTGTATTTGTGTCGGCACTCAGAAACATATAACATTTTCCCTGGGGAATGGTGGTTTTGTGTGTTTATGTACTGAGGGCCTGTGTGTGTGTGTGTGTGTAACCAAATATGGAACTGGGCCAGGGATCTCTCCCAGTAGGGAGCCACTAAGAATCTCACGCTCTCAGTGTCTGCTAGCATCATCAGCCCAGAGAGCTTTCACATCCCCAGCCCTCCAACTGGGAAAAGCAGCCGTGTGGGAAGCTGTGTGAAAAAAGCTTCTCCACCCTGTGGCTAGAGAAACTGGATCAAATAATAAAATATTCCCTTTTACTTGCATCAATTAATTTTGGGCGTGTCATCACCTATTTGACTTGCCATGTAATCGAAGGACCATATGATGATGTAGGAAAGTTCTGTGAACAACAGTGGGCGGAAGGATGGTGTCATGTGGTGCTGGTGTCCACGGTGACAGAGGTGGTCCACTCAGGCCCTTCAGAGCTCACAGTGGAAGAAACAAATAACACAGGTCTTCCTGTGAGACGCCATCAAAGGCTAGCTGCTCCGCTCAGTGCTAAATGGAAAAGCAGCTCTATGGCTCTTTATAGCTCTTGTGTTTTTGAATGCCCTTGTGTGTCTGCAGCAGAGCTTTGGAAATATAGTGCTGTATACAAGGAATGTTGCAACAGTAGAGCAACTTGAGCCCTTTGAACTAGTTCCTTATAAAAAAATTAAAAACTCAGACTTAGTCCTGTGGTGGGAAAAGGAGACCATTGCTTCTCCTAACCTGTGGGGATGAGGACAGTGGTTCCTTGCGGCACCACACACTTGTAGCACTTGTCCACCTTGTCCCCAAAGAACACCTCGCTCTGGTTGGGGGACGAACTCCACGCCTCGTATAGTGCAAGATTAGCCTGGGTCGGCTTGATCAAGTAGAAAATCTTCTCTCCCTTCAGGACAGAGATGAAAAATTAGGAGAACATTATTCCGGTGCAATGGAATTATTAATAATATAAAACAATTTACAGAAGCGTATTGGAGGGGAAGATTTTCAGAGGAAGGCAAATGAACAAGACCCAGCATGTAGTCAGTGTTGCTACAGTAAAACGCTTGAGGGGTGACAAACCTCAGGAGAAGCATGTGGTTATTGAAGTTGGGCTGTCAGACTACATAGCCAACGCAAAACGCCTTGAAGATTCAAAACAACTCTGGTGCCTAACCATAGCACTGTCTGTGAAGATATAAGACATGCTGAGCACAGCAATTCCCCAGCTTACCCAGAGTACGTGGTACCACACGGATGTGCCTCCGAAATCTATGTGGAAGTCTGTGTAGCTGTCCTTCACCCCCATCAGGCAGTACTTCTGGACAAAGGGCTTGGGGAAGAAGGAGTCATCTGGCCAGTAGTTCTCCACCCAAGACATCTTCTGAGCGATATCAGGCACCACCACCAGCTCTGCCATCCTAAGAGGATACAAAGGAGTGTTTAGGGAAGTTCTACCAGTAAGGCAGTCGTTTGTACGCTACTCATCTTTCATTTTACATTTACATTTTAGTCATTTAGCAGACGCTCTTATCCAGAGCGACTTACAGTTAGTGAGTGCATACATTTTAATTTTTTTATACTGGAATCGAACCCACAACCCTGGCATTACAAATGCCATGCTCTACCAACTGAGCTACATCCCAGCCGGCCATTCCCTCCCCTACCCTGGACGACGCTGGGCAAATTGTGCGCCGCCCCATGGGTCTCCCGGTCGCGGCCGGCTACGACAGAGCCTGGATTCGAACCAGGATCTCTAGTGGCACAGCTAGCACTGCAATGCAGTGCCTTAGACCACTGCGCCACTCGGGAGGACAATGGAGTATTACTGCGCTCTAATAAGGCAGAATTGTTTGTCACGTTACACACCTTCATATCTACCCATCACTGTTCACCAATCAACCAGGCATTAACCAAGGAGATTCATTTAAAATAACACATTTCTCCCCACCTCTTTGCCGTTTTAGAGTGGTTTCTTCTACCAGCTGTGCTGCTTCTCTGTGTAGCCCGCGCAGCACAACTGGAAGGAAACCGCTTGAGTCGCACAAAATGGAATATAAAGTTTGGAATTACACAATTTCATGTGTACAACATCTATAGACCTGCATCACTATGCTGAAAGTTTTGTCGTTTCTAAAAGGACGTATTTGGGTGATTTTGGAGCCTTTGTTCATGTTCGAATCCCATACTGCGGAACGAGCAATGAGTTAGTCTATTGCGGGTGGGGATAGTTTCTCAAAACCAAGTAAAATAGCAACAAAAAAAAGTGGCTGGACCCTTCTATAACATGCCATTTACATAACAAATAGAGATTTGGTTCCAAACTAGTGAATAGCGCTTTTAGCTACAAATATTACAATTCTAATGGTGAATATTTAGTGAATCCCAGAAATTCGTAAGTGAATCCAAATTATACAATGATCAAAGCAGCAGCAGGATATACTTGTTAATAGCGAAAAGCAACCAATACTTACTTGGTGTCTGAAAACTCCAGACTGATCACGTTCAGCACCTTTGGCCGATAAGGTTTGTAGTAATACTTGATGAACTCTCTAAGTTTCATTTTGCTGTCTGCCTGCCTGGCAACATCAATGACATCCACGATTTTGTCACCACCTGCAAGAAAGTCATGCTTCAGATTAGAATATGGTTTCTGTGATGCAGAAAGTAGTCTGGAGGAAGTTCAAGATGGGATGGGACAGGCATTAACACTTGAATGTAGTATGTTAAGTAAGGACAGGTGGATTTGATATGATATTACAGACATATTACAGTGTATCACCACATTACTGCACAGTACTACAGACCAATACATGCCAAGCCTGCCTTCTAAAAATACTTTAATATATTGAAATCTACCGGGGATACTCACAGGTCCAATCCCCCTCCCCAGCCCAGACAGAGGGCCAGCCAGAGAGACTCTACAGTTCTCATGCGCAGATGTCCAATGATGGAGGGCGCAAGGCGTGGAGCTTGCTGACATTTTCAGAATCCCCATAATACTCCTGATGGACACCTCAGTGCTGCTGCAGCCACCCAACTGGAGGAGGTGCATTGAAGCATCCAAGGCAATCTCTCCACATCCCATTACTGTACTCCCAATGATGGAAGCAGGAGGAGCCGGAGAAGAGGAGGCTAAGGGTTGGCTAATGTCTTTCATGTGTGTAGATAACGCCACCCGTGTACAGCTGGCAAATTGCAAATAAAAAATGGCAGAAGGGGGAGCTGTGAACAGACATGCAGTTAACGGAGGGCATGACAGGACAGCTGGTGGTTGTGCAAGGATAGCCCTGTTTGGCCCTGCTGGCCACCGCTGGAGGCAGAGCAGCCTCACATACACAGAACAGCCAGGGGAACACTAGTGTACAGATCGGGAGGGGAGCTGCCTGGGCGTAGTACAACCAACGACAAGTGGGGGCAATAACTCTCTCCAGCCACCAATGTCCTGTGCGAATATTTATGGTCCTCATATTAGCAATTATGTCCCTTCATCAATCTTTCCATCCAGTGACACAGTTAGGGACTAGGAGCACAGGTTTCCTGGAGAATAGACAGGGCGTTGCTAGTCCCAGGTCTGAGGTACTTGGAAAGTGTGATGTTAAAACAATGTTCCAAAAGGACAAAATACACTTTACAGGTTTGCCATTAGGGTAAATGGAGAAATGGCCATGGAAAACACATATCGTTCAATACAATTAACTTACAGGTCCCTGCTGAGTCTAGCAGGCAGAGTGCCAAGTGAGGTAAATGGATTAGCTGGGCAGCTGGCCTGTGGTGAATGCTTGGTTAAGCACTGGCCATTTAAACATTAATGTGAATATCAACAATGTTAAAGAATATTTTCCAACTAATAAACCCCCAAAAGAGACCCACACATGAATAAGGTTATTCATTAAACAAACCATTTGAATTTCATTGTCAGGTTGACACATCAACCTAGACTGATAACTCCACAGGCTTAAGCCTAATCCAAGGAGCTTTTAGGAGTTCTAGAGCCATGAAAACCACAACATATCACTGTGAGAATGGAGTGTGACTAGTCACCAAAGAAGACTGTGTGCTTCTGCCAGTGACAAATAACATGCTGCTCAGAAACAGAGCAGTGGGCAGAATGACTTGGTCTCTGACACAGATGTGAGATCAGATTTGGAGCCTGATTTCCCCAAAGGAAGACCATACCATTAACCCTTTCTAATATCTACAGTTCCAATATTACACCCGGACTATGGACATGAAAGAAAAAACCTTGAGACACAAATCCCATGCTAAGAGAAACAAATGGCCAGTGCTTCACTTTAGTAGTCTTCTGGTTATGCTAATATGATACACTGGTCACAGGGACAAATTCTCAGGTTAGCCGCAAAAGTGAGATGGTTTTGTCTCCACTCTTTCTGTGTGTGTGCAGTAGACTGAAGGAGCAGAGTGAATGTAATTTGAACCTAAAATAAACTTAGCCGGACACAAACCTGAGATGTCTGATAATGTACTGGGATGTAAGGGGATCTCATAAGTACCAGACTCTCAATAGTGGAGAGAGGTGATGAGCCACGGTGCTCGGAAAGCTAACCCACTTTTAGCTACACACTTATTTCATTATTGAAATATATGAAAAACTGTATGCACTCACTACTGTAAGTCGCTCTAGATAAGAGCGTCTGCAAAAAAAAATTATTGGTGGATTAATGTAACATGTAAAAAGGTGGACCCAGTGAACCTCTCAGCTCTGTTACCTGAGATGGTCCAGAGGCACATTAAGTTACAGTAATGTACAGACACGTTACACGGCAAGCACGTAGGATTAATATTTAAACCCTTGACAAGATGCTCAGCTAGCATCTCATTAACAAACACGTTTGATTAAACATCCCACTCAGCAGTACATGATCCAGAAATTCTAGAGAGCTTGTGTTCATAGAAACAGAACATTAGCACACTGACCCAATTATTTTGAAAATGGGGCTGTTTTGAAAATAAATATGGCACAGTAAATGTACACAAACCAAACAAAGGCACCAAAACAGCACAATCGGTGGGAGAGGGCTCCATTTTAACAAACCTAACGCAATGGTAAATCTTAGCGCTGGCGGTAGTGCTATAGGTTCTGGGGTGTATCAGAAATATTTTAGCTATTTTCACAGCAGGAATTATGGGCGCAATAGCTGGCGGTGGCACGAAAGGGCTGGGTTTTGATGAATAAATTAGTTGCAGGTGTGTCGAGGCTTGGCCCTTCACTGGCCAATGAGAACATGCTTCATGGCTAAATATCTGGTTGCTTCAAGTTGTGTATTTACGGTCTTTTTATATCAACTCCAATTAGAACGTTAGACCGTTATAAATAGCCTAGAGAAACAAAATGTAGGCCTATCCCATATTTGCTAAATAGGTTGAACATGTTTGCAATCCACATTGTTCTAAGTAGGCTAATTGCATGATTTCAATACGAAAATATATATTTTTAAACATAGCATTCACATGGACATAGGCCTACTGTAAATTGCATTATGTCTGAGCTATGCCAAACGTTAAGAAATATTACATTCTATTAAATTAGATGAAATAAGACCTAAAAAGACAGTGAATAATTTGAATCAAATTCTAATAAAACGAAACAACTTGTTTTAAATAAAATTGTCTAAATATGTCTAAATACAGTTACAGGCACCATAATTGCTCCCGTGGGCATATAATATTAAGACAATGTAGACTATGGAGGGTTTTACGCATATCAAAACTTTTCAAAAGAGCTGGAAAAAGATCCAATATAAAGAGAAAGGGGGAATGTCCACTTACCATTATACTGCTCCCAATTATAATGTTTTATAAACATCATGGAACCATGTTACAGATCATATTCGCACCTCTCCACTCCAAACATAGCAGACGGCTTCTAAATTGCATTGTATGCGAGCCATGCATTCTAATAATAAAGCCATGGACAGTGAATAATTCTAATAAGTTTGGTTTTTAATCAAATTAAACTAAAACAAGCAATTCGTTTTTTTTAAACGACAATATTTCTAAATAAGATGGGGTCAGAATCATGATATCATAAATCGCATCTCTCATTCCATGAACAGGCACACGTAGGCCTAAGGCCAAGGGCTCGATAGGAATTCCCGCGATTTGACAGTTAGGTCCAACAAAGGAAAGTGGAAGATGCATTTTTTCACAGCAGCCTTTTTAAATAACTTGATGTTCCTAAACAGGCTTCCTACAGTCACTGACACCTTTCATGCAATGGGCATCACACATAATGAGTCCACACTTTTCACAGAATCTGGACAAAAATAATGTCCAGTATAAATAAAAATGGGGGATTTCATTAACTCTTTTGCTGATCGTGACATTTCCGATAAGGCTACTGTGCGCCTTACCACTAAGACCAGCTTTTGGCCGGTCTTAAATATCTCTAGTTGCACTGACTGAAATTGGCATATTGGTGCACGTTTTGAAGGACGCCTCAGATTTCCACACCTCCTACCTCAGCGCAAGCAAGCTGATGTTAGACAGGTAAATTAACAACCCTGATGCAAAGGTTGGGAAAAAGCAGAGCGCTGGCTTTCATAAGTTAAAATTGACAATGAGCGTGTGTGACACTAGCGCTGCCTTAACGCCAGTCGAAAATAGAGGCCAGAAAGTAGTGAATTTAAAAAAAAAAAGTTATCCTCTTACCAACGTAGTCCTCCACATCCCTTACAGAGAAGCTGGAGGGAGGCAGCTTGAGACCTAGTCCATCCAGTTTGGGAACGGTGATAGGGTAGCGGAAGCCCTGCTTCTCCAGGTACTTCTGTGTTACCTGATGGCCCTGCATCTGCACCATGATTTCATCCGCACTGCAACAAAGGAAAGAGGGGCATTTATATTACGTTATTGGTCATCTACCTCAACTCATTTTAGAAGATGCATTCCTGGAACGTGGTTGACCAAACATCCTTCATGTATGGACCACAGATTATGAGTTTATCACTTCACCAGTTTCCTTCTACCTGCTTCATCTAATAGAGCTGTCCCAGTGAGCACCATTGCACTGCTTAAGGATTTGTTTGAAGGAGCTGAGTTTGTATTCACAATATGTCACAAAAAGGCAGAAGCCCAGTTGATGTTGGCTAAGTAAAGCAATGCCCAGACCACATCAGCAACACACTGGTTTTCAGTTCGGGGTGTGAACCTGGGGCCCACTGCTGTGTGTGATGTGTGGTGATGTGATGTGTGCACACATCTGTGGCTTGGTCTGCTGGGTGGTATCTTGGCTCCTTCAGTACCTGGGAAAGGTTCTGTTCTGCAGCTCTCGTACAAACACAGAGGTCCCCGCCTGCACCGGCCTGCTGCAATCGTCAGGCTCTGTGTAGTCGTGTCGGTGCCAGTTGTTACGTTTTTTCACTGGGAAAACAAGACAACGAGTTGTAAAACTTCTCAACCGTCAGAGTCATTGATCAAACAGAGCAGATACTGCACAGAGTTTGCAGGGGTAGCTACCCGAGTGTCTGAGGAACATGGAAGCCTTGAATTATGGATCGTCTTTATAAATCATTTCAAAATCCCATAAAGCCCACGTAATATCCAGCCGAACGAGGGCCATCTTCAATCTCAATTTGATGATTACACCATCATTCAATTACCCTAATAATGTGGCCAGACCCACTTTAGAGCATAAAGAGAGAGAGTAGACGTCTAATGGAGAGTCAAGTATTAAATAACCGTGCTGAGTAATGCAGAGAGAGAGTGTGTGGTGGTGTGGTACTTACTCAAGGAGGGTCCGTGTTGGACATCACATTTAGGACAGTGGTAAACATCGATGTCCACGGCATGGTGCTCTTCCACTTGGACACAGCTGGAGAGGGAAGAGAACATTTTGATATTTAGACTCAGTTATATGAAATAAGCTGGTTCTCAACACAAAACTCGACAACATATCTGTAGTAAATATAGTTTAAATTTAGAGAGTGATCCAACATCACCCTCCCATTAGAATGGCTTACCAAGAAAACCTTCCAAAAGGATAAATGAGGTAAAAAGGAGTTGGAGCACTAAACAAAAAAAGGCAGAGATGGATTAAAATGAGATATAAGAAATCAATTGTACAGGATGCGAATAGGTGACTGACGTTTCGACGTCAAGCTGACGTCTTCCTCAGTGACCTGACCATTGCACTTAGCTCCTATTTATAGCCTAGTGGTCCATTGAGACGCAATGTAAAACAATTACAATGATAATGATAAGACAAAGTGTGTCTCGTTAATCAACAGGCCATGTCAATATATACATAGGTGATATTTGGGTGTCTGTGAATCCGGAGACACAGAGACCCACAAAAAAATCGAGGCAACAACATTATAGAAGAAATGAGGACAGTGGAAAAATCATCATTTAGCCCCTTTGGACCCACACTGTCTAAGGAGTACTGCCAGAATGCCTCGGTTTTGGTTTACGTACGATATCACCTCCTCTAGGTGAAATTTGGACGTGTTCTATGGCTACAAAGCGCAGGACGGAAGGTGAGTCATGGTTGGCTTCGATGCAAAGGTGCGCAATAGCATAGTCCGTGTTTTTATTTCGAATAGCAGCCTTATGTTCTGCGATGCAAAGTTTCAATACTTGTTTAGTTTGACCAATAAGGAGAAGCGCAGATGCATTTGAGCATGTATACGACATTTGTGGTGCTACAATTAATGAAGCGTTGGATTTTGTATTCTTTACCTGTTCTCGGGTGGTAAAAAACTTTAGTATTTTCACAATGTAAACAGTGGCCACACTTGTAATTGCCATTGGGCGGGCCTGGGAGCCAAGTGTCACGCTTCTTGGGTAGCTGCATCCTATGGGTAACGGAATTGGCTAGATTGCGCGCACGGCGAAAACAAATGCGAGGGGGGCAATGTAATGAACTCTCGTAGATTTTGATCACATTTGATGATGTTCCTCAATGTGCCACTAGGCTATAAATAGGAGCTATGTGCAATGGTCAGGTCACTCTGAGGAAGACGTCAGCTTGACGTTGAAATGTCAGTCACCTGTTCGCATCCTGTACAATGGATTAAAGTGAGCAGTAAGAAATCAATCTCTGCTGTTTTTCCAACTCCTTTTTACCTCAAATTAGTCCTTTTGGAAGTTTTTCATGGTAAGCCATTCTGGTGATTTTTGTCCTTGTTGTTGATCACCCCTCCTTTCCTTGGTTTGCTGAAGCGCGAAGGCCCACCTGAACTATCACACTCCCATTATTCTATTCTATTTCGGCCATTAGCTGTCTAAATGCAAAACTACTGTTCCTAAATTACTTTTGCAAAATGTAAATACTACCCCCCTCTCATTCAAGGGATCCAGCCAAGTGGTCAACCAACTAGGCTACACATCAACAGCCATGTAGTAGGCAGGGATAGGGAGGAATGCAGGGAATCAAAATCTAACAGGGCTTTATCAAAATCACATAAGAAAGCTATAAAAAAGGTTTCAGCTCACTTTCTTTCACATACAGAACATCCTGCCATCCTGATCAATTTGTCAAATAAGGACATCATAATTTTGAAAACAATAAAGGTGCTAATGTAGTCAACTCAACTTTCTTCTCAAAGTTAACAACTTCAACCCCCTCAGTAAAGAGTGAGAACTATAGATCTGAGCCACTCACTCAGCTGATGTAGCCATTTCAAGCTTCTGCCTCTAACCCTAGGAAACTCTTTTCCATCTTCTCCTCCCTCCTTAATCCTCCACCCCCTCCCTCCCTGCGGACGACTTTGTCAATCAGTTTGAAAAAAAGGTTGACGACACCCGCTACTCATTCACTCAGCCTATTGAGTCCACTGGTCTTACTCACACAGACCTACCCTACGCCTTGACCTCTTTCTCCCCTCTCTCTCCAGATGACATCCTGTGACTAGTGAGGTCTGGCCGCCCGACAACCTGCCCGCTCAACCCCATCCCCTCCTCCCTTCTCCAGACCATCTCTGGAGAACTTCTCCAATTCCTCACTTCCCTTATCAACTCATCCCTGACCACTGGCTGCGTCCCCTCGGACTTCAAAATGGCCCGAGTTGCGCCCCTCCTCAAGAAACCAACACTCGACTCATCTGACATCAAAAACTATAGACCTGTATCCCTTCTTTCTTTTCTTTCCAAAACACTTGAGCGTGCCGTCTCTGATCAACTTTCTCATTATGTCCCTCAGAACAATCTTCTTGACCCTGACCAGTCAGGTTTCAACACGAGTCACTCAACCGAGACTGCTCTTCTCTATGTCACGGAGGCTCTCCGAACTGCCAAAGCTGACTCTCTCTCTCTCTCTCTCTCCTCTGTTCTCATCCTACTAGATCTATCCGCTACCTTTGACACCGTGAACCATCAGATTCTCCTGTCCACTCTCTCAAGGCTGAGCGTCTCAGGCTACGTACACTCTTGGATTGCATCCTACCTGGCAGGCCACTCCTACCAGGTGACGTGGAGAGGATCTGTGTCTGCACCACATACTCTCACTACTGGTGTCCCCCAGGGCTTGGTTCTAGGCCCTCTCCTCTCCTCGCTATACACCAAGTCACTCCGCTCCGTCATATCCTCACATGGTCTCTCCTATCATTGCTATGTGGATGACACGCAACTACTTTTCTCCTTCCCCCCTTCTGACACCCAGGTGGTGACACGTATCTCTGCATGCCTGGCAGATATCTCAACATGGAATGTAGGCCCACCACCTCAAGCTCAACAAGATGGAACTGCTCTTCCTCCCGGGGAAGGCCTGCCCGCTCAAAGACCTCTCCATCACAATTGACAACTGCACAGTGTCGCCCTCCCAGAGTGCAAAGAACCTTGGCGTGACCCTGGACAGCACCTTGTTGTTCTCTGCAAACATCAAAGCAGTGACCCGCTTCTGCAGGTTCATGCTCTACAACATCCGTAGAGTACAACCCTACCTCACCCAGGAAGCGGCGCAGGTCCTAATCCAGGCACTTGTCCTCTCCTGTCTGGACTACTGCAACTCGCTGTTGGCTGGGCTCCCCGCTTGTGCCATCAAACCCCTGCAACTTATCCAGAACGCAGCACCCCGGCTGGTTTTCAACCTTCCTATGTTCTCTCATGTCACTCCGCTCCTCTGCACACTCCACTGGCTTCCAGTTGAAGCTTGCATCCACTTCAAGACCATGGTGCTTACCTAAGGAACAGCAAGAGGAACTGCCCCTTCCTACCTTCAGGCTATACTCAAACCCTACACCCCAACCCGAGCACTCCGTTCAGCCACCTCAGATCTCTTGGCTGTCGCACCCCTACGGGAGGGCAGCTCCCGCTCAGCCCAGTCCAAGCTCTTCTCTGTCCTGGCACCCCAATGGTGGAACCAGCTTCACCCCAGCTCTGACTCTACTGATAGCTATGTTATTGAGGGAAAACGTACTTTCTATGCCTGTGATGTGGTTGTCCCACCTAGCTATCTTAAGATCAATGCATTAACTAAGTCGCTCTGGATAAGAGCGTCTGCTAAATTACTAAAATGTATGTATTCCCATCACTTCCAGAGCAGTACAATGCAATGCAGCATGCATAAAACAAACTGGGGGTAACACAGGCAGGCCCCCTGTCCACCTGAAATAGCAGGTGTCACAAAACATAGCTTTATTCTGTTTATGTCCAACGTTCTTTGTACCGTAGAATGCTGAAGTGTGAAAATTATTGACCCGAGTTAGCCTCCTATGCCCTGGGAATGTCAGTAGTCCCCCCTCATGGTGTTGTGGTTTAACCTCAGACACAGGCTGATTCTTGGCTACAGATGTTTGAGGGCTGTGTTTGGTCTACTCTGGGACAGTGGTGGTGGGTGGCATCCGTTAAGCCACAGAGTGTGGGAACCAGCCCTGCTGGAGCAGCAGTTGAGGTGCCCACATCAAAGCCTCCAGTTCTCCCCTTCCGCCAGGCTGGGTGGAACACTGGTGTGAGGGGAGGGTGCCCCGGGTTAAGGGGGAGGAGAGGACCGGCCGACAGGCTGAAAAACAGTTTCTGTTCAGTGCCGAGAGGAGGGCCTGGGAGCAGCTCTAGCTGTTATCTTCTTTGATCTGAGCGTAATTGCAGGAAACAAGGGAAGCAGTAAACAAAACAGAACCATTATCTTGTCAAAAAAGCGGCCTGAGTCGGGGATGGCCAAAGGATTTAAGCCGAAATCACACGGAGAGACGCCGTCAACGGCATCAAAATTTGCACGTGAGAGTAGAGCGTCAATTCACTTACACCATGTAGTGTATGCCAACTTAATTGTCATGTGAATCCATAATAAATCAGTTGTATTTATTATGTTCACTATGTAGCCCTTGTGAATTATTGCTGCGTGTTCCTTTTTTTGACAGACAACAACACAGTTGTGTGGGGGGCTGGTGGGGGCGTCCGCGGCCATGGAGGGAGCATCTAAGTCCCCGGCAGAGCCGGGAAATGTTTGTTCCCTTGGACTGTTGGTGTACAGCAGTGAAAACTCATTTGAATCTGCTGGGGACTCGCGTCCTATTAAATGTATAATATGCGACATGTTTGTTGTTGTCACAGGGAATGGTCCGATGGATACGTTCATTTGTGAAACATTTATTGAACTATTACGCTTCATGAAGAAATACAAAAATCTGACCAAGCGCCTTGAACTGAATAAGGATTCTATGAGACTATTGGCATCTTTAAATGCTTCCTATCAAAACATCCAAGAGGATCATAATGGGACCTTCCTGGACTATGATCAATTTCCGCCACTGCACCCCTCTACTAGCTTGAACCAGAAAATGGCTGCTCACTGTTCGACTGCAGGTGAGCGTAAATGGATGCGTGACGGAACCAGAAAGAAGGAGAAGAATCATTCTCAGCGCGCCTGCCTTCTTCCCCTGCGTCCGGACTTAAGA